AAGAATTCATATATTCAGATTATCATATTATCAGAATAGAAAGTGCCAAATAAGCAAATTGTAAAAAGCCAAAAAGATGCTAGTGTCACAGGCTCATACCCGGTTATTATTAGGCTGCTGCCTAACAAATAAGGCTTGAACTCTTCCAACCATATTAAACATCATACATGTCATGAACCCCTCCACAACTCATTAGGCCCAAGTATAGGCCTTGGCCCACTTCATACAAATCTATATTGCAGACAGGACGACTCGAACACCAGTTGTGAGTCATCTAAGCCACATGTATCATAACTATTTTAATAACTAAAATTACTAACATTAAAATTAAGCTGAATTAAAATAGACGGAGATGCTGGTGTTTGTCAGAGGACAGGTCATGATCTATTCTGAGAATGGTATGAAATGAGGGAACGAGATCATAGTCTTGTAAATAAATATGAGGCTTTCTGTTATGGCCAGGCATCCTTGAAGAGGTTTCAAGGAGAAGGTTCTGAGGAAAAGGTGATATGAGAAGGTTTTAAGAAAGGTTTTGGGAAAAAGTTTACTGAGAACGTTTCCGGGAAAACTCCGACAGTTAGAGATGGAGGGGCTGGCGTCATGACGGCATTTGTCATGGTTTTAGTTGAGTTCAAGTACTATCTCGGCTTAGACTTAAGGAAGCTGGAGCTGCCACATAGTAGCTCTCCAGCTTCTCAATCTTTCATTCTTTTGATCCTTGATCTCGCAATCTAGCATTTATACAATATTATAATTGTATATTCTCACAGTCTGATATTCTCAGTCTTTCGTTATTTGTTACATTCTTCGTACTTCTGTGCACCCTGAGTTATCATTCTTGATTGCCTGCTCGTCAACTCGTCAACTCGACTTCTTGACTTCGTGTCTTTCAACTATTCTGTAGTTCTACAACCTTTGACTACCTGGCACCTCGCCAAGCAAATCATATCTAAGTATCCTTTGTTAGCAACTGTAATCCTAATAGTTATTAATACCTTACCTTCGGCAGACGGCGATCTCCAGTATCCTTAGCGCACGCCGTAACACTTTCAGTCATGTCTCTGCCTGTTACTTTCAGATTTTCATTTGTATCTAGCTCTGAGTTCAGTTTGAATAAAACGCCACTTTAAGACTGTTACAGCTAGAACTAAAGAACGAATTAAGATTTCCAGCCTGAACAAATCTAGCCCTGTTGCCTCAGACCTAACCAAATTGAGAATATAGCCCCTGCACCACCACATTCAGATTACAACTAAAAAATTCATAACACAAACCATATGTCTAGCTATCTAATCTTTTGACTGTGATCAACTTTAAGCCCATTTAGTAAGGTAAGTGGGTAGTTGTTGTGATAGGTCTATGATTCGGGTGTACATGCAATTTGTGGGAGCTCGCTGCTAGTCATCACAGATGGGCTGCTGGGCCGGACAGGTCAAGAAGTGGAGCAGAGAATGATATCTGCAGAATGAGGAAAGCTCTCTACTTATAGTCCCTAGACTATTGCTTACTAATGATACTTTCTCAACGACGCAGGAGCAAACAGAGCAAACGCAGACAGTTGCGTGACCATCATAACTTGAGCTGTGTGTTGAAATTGGCCCTACTTATCAAAGAAGAGGCACATTAACATAGAACGTAATAAGGTTTGAATATTACTAGGATGTTCATGACGGCTCATACATTGACCAGCCTCCCAATTATCTAGCATAAGGTAGTGAATTGTGTCCTGCGCTTAGCTGTAGTAATTAGTTTAAATAGCGCTCTGATACTAAGTGGGTTTAATCAACAACTCTCCACTATAGTTTTCAGACTCTTCAATCTCCAAACCCGCTTCACTAGGTTATATTAAATACAAGCCTAACAGCTTTCGCTTCTCTATACAACTTCCATTACAACATAATTTCCCAGCTGAGCGATCCTGAACCTAGCTGTTCAGGAACAATAGCAATCTAGTCCATAGTTCGCGCCTGTGGTTTGTGTACACACCACAGCGTCGCTCCAATTGTTCCCATACAATGTCTCAATTCCGCAGTCCCTAGTCCATTACTCAGGAGCGGACGCAGTTGTATAGTTCCAATAGTGCGCTAGGTCTGCATGTACCTCTGAGCGCTATCTCGTAATTACCCGGCAATATCTCACTGCTTATGGCTAGCGCACGTGGTCAGTAGACTCTTCACGCCGCCACCCCAATTGTTGCCCTGCAATGACTCAACTTGGTGCTCCCAAGTCCGAGACTCAGGTGCAGCAGCAGTTGTATCCATGGTCAGTGCACGACGTGCATATGCACCTGATGACGTAGAGCTGATCATTGACAACCAATATCACAACAGCAGGCCCAGGTTTGCATGTAAGTCGGTCTGTCTATTACAACTGTTGTGCTGGCTCGGTTGAGTTGTTAGGAGACAGGGGAACAGAGGATGGGCTGCTGGATTAGGAAAGGGTGGAAAATACAGGCTGGTGCACAGACGCTGTTCATGTACTTTACAATCTCTTCACCTGCCGAGTTTAGTGAATTAATCTATCAAAATAATATCATACTTCACATCATCCATTAGATGATATTATCAATCGTCGGGATGCACATCTAGCATCACCTTCATAGATCACCATTGTCAGTAAGAGTTCACATTTGATACCTACTGACACCCATTTGGCCACAGTGATACGCACTCAGTGTCCATTGTGCCATCACCCAGCGTGAGCGCGCCATCTCCGCAACTCACCATTGCACATGAGCCCGTGTAACTCCACCGACGGACAGCAGAGACATAATTGCTATATACCTCACAGCTCATAACCACAACAACAACAGGTTAGACGCTTAGTAAGTGCTTATGTAAGGTGGTCATCAGCACTCACCTTAAATTAGCTCTGTCCCACTGAAGTGTTCCCTTCACAGAAAATTTAGATTATTTTGTGGCAGCTTTTGCTTGCGGCATCTGTGATTCTCGTCCTTTTACAAAGAGTAGAACTCGCTGTCTTCAAAGCTCATAAGTGAGGATCGAGGTTCATAATTGAGATTGGAAACTTATAGGGAAGTAGAATTTGATAATGAGTGTGGAAACAAGATACCTAAGAAGACTAATATTGAGAAAAAGGGAGTAACACAAATTGCGAAGTTGAAGATCTGGATAAGCTGTTTCCTCCGCTTCTTGTAATGAGAAGAATCCCTCAATACCATCTCCGGCTCGTACTTGAACTGTCTAATGCATGAGAGGATCTGAATTAGGTTGTTAATCTCCTCAGATAATTAATTTGGGAAATAAAATGCGGGCCATTCCTAGATCCTTAAGTCTCAATCATTTCCGAGAGCCTATATTAATAACTTATCCAAGGATACAGTTTGCACAGGCTGAATCTGTTTGCAGATAGGTATTGATTTGTCACTTAGTGGATCCCAATTGATGGAAACCCGACCGTGCACATCGTGCGCTGTTGATTGGCTCATGTGGTGCGGGGGAATATTTAAATAAATTGGCAATCCTGTATTATAGAAATCAATTCACGTATTATTAGTCTCAAGCTCTACTCACATTATATTGTTGATTAGTCAGAGCCACAAGACACATGCTTGAAATCATTGTGACCAGAAACTGATCAACCAGAAGCCACAACTTTATTCTTGATTCTCTATCTAAGCTTTCTACGGAGATTTATCCTATGTAGGTGCCAAGGCCCTAGCGCAATTAATACCCGTGCGTGAAGGCCTGCACTTCGGACCAATCAGAGTAATTTAGACAGATACTTTTCAATACACATAAGATTGCTAATTTTTGCACACCAGTCTTGGAGATGGTATTTTAATATAAGTTGCTAGTATTAGGTAGTCAGGTGGCTCGTTTAGTATCTCTGCCTCAGGATAAGTTATACAGACCAAAACATGATGTCAGGAAATAACCGGGCAAATACGCAGTAATAAGCTCAGTTCAAGCTTTTGATGTAAAAATAGATTTACTTACAGATGCCTTGGAAGATGTATGCGATGCGCTGTTGGCCTGACATGAATATTTTGTTTTCTTGTTAGTTTCCAAATCAAGTCAGATTGGCCATCTCGGAAATAGAGTCTTTCGGAGTCAACGACCCATGTCATGTCAAAATAATGGCAGGAGTAGTGTCCGACTTGTTCAAATAACAATAAGCACCTCTACCACTGCGTGGTTTCTAACAGCTGTGTGATGTATGGAATATAAAAACTCGATACAAAGTGCGCTAGCTGGCTAAGAACACGTAGATAAGGTAACGGGCTATGCTAGGTTAGTCACAGCATGCTGCTTGACATAGAGTGATCCACAAGAAAGTAGAAGAATCCAAATTTCGCGAATTAGCTCGTTAAAAATGAACTCTGTGGTCAACAAATCTTAAGTGGATTCAATGTCAAGGTAAAGTCTGGTAGTGGAATGTAATGAATGAGGCATAATGGCGATAAACTTCACGCTCTCCAATTCAACCAATTCGTCCTTGCTTCTGTTGAGTTCGGAAATATCTCCCATCAGAATGAGTCAACAGAATATACTAGCATGAATTTTCGTTGGATGAAGTATTGAAGACAGGAGACTCATCCCCGTATGTCCATTTGCTGAATAAAATTGCCTCTCCACCTCATGGTTAAATTAAGATTTCTTGAGTTAAACAATTAGCAATGAAGGAGCTTTAAGTTAGAGCTTGGCTCATTTATTCCTCTGGTGCCATACGCCATGGAATAGACCCCACTCGCTTCCGCTTCGGGTAATCTAAATACAGATACAGACAAGCTGAAAGCAAATCTCGGCAGAAATATAAATATGTTAGGGCCTTGGTCCAGACAAGACACACTATCAACAATTTTGACTGACACTTTTTTGGCTCTTGCCAGCACAAGGCTTGCAGAAGAACAAAGAAAACAAGCCAATAAGCAGGAACCAGTCCTACTGTTATTTTGTCCCTACATAGCCTTGAACTTCATATCTGACGGCTTGGTAATCAGTATTCACAATTGGATTCCCCAGATCTAAATTTTCGAAATGAAGTTTCTTAGCACCACAATAACTGCAGTGTTTGCTGGTATTTCACTACTGGTACCAACTGCTTATGGAAACCTACAATACAGATGTGAAATTGGCGATCCCATTACAGAATCACAGGTTCTTGAAACTGTCAATAAAAGTTTTTTGATAGATAATTCTCCTCAACACCCAGCTATTCCCACAACAGAACCACATAAGACATATTTTTCCACGAGACCTTGGAGTGGAAGTGGTCAGTTTTTCCATTCTTCCGACATTTGTCTTATTAATTGTTCCTTCTAGAATCAGGTATAGCTTCTTTCCTTATACAAGTTTATGGGCAACCTCCAAAATACCAAGTATATCAAGGAGTTGCCCGAGGTTGGAGACTGTGTACTTTAGAAAATGGGAATTAACAGGCACAAAAATTCCGCAGTCATCTGCGTCAATGTCGGACAGCCAGTGGTTATTTTCAAATAATATATTTGCCGTGTAATTAAACTGAAAGTGAATCATTTGTATATTGCAAGTCAATAGCAATCTTTGGTCTTCTAGAAATTCGCAATCTATCAATGACATCTCTCTGTAACAGCTAGTGAGCCGGTAATTACTCAGTGTGACATGATGATAATCACGTGCTGTACAAATCTTCGCAGCTCAATCTTCTTTTGTAGATAAATAGGGATTTCACTAGAAATTTCTAGCAACTAGTAGTAGGACTGCAAACCAACCTCAGGGGATCATACTAGAAACTGGTTATAGGTGAGTAGAATATTCCAGATAGTATAGTAAGTGTATAAATCGTTGAAGTAGGACTTGTATAGATAGGCACAGAGAAAATAACAAACTACCTTTGTATATCTGATTGCTCCAGCATTGACACTCGAACCGTGTTGTGAATTTGTTAGAATTAATCTAGATGTGGTGGTGCAGGGGTTATCTTCTTAATTTTGTTAGGTCTGAGGCAACGGGATTTAGATTTGTTCAGGCTAGAAATTTGAATTGGCTCTTTAGTTTTAACAACTTTTAGTTTTTTTGTATAATTTGCTTATTGGGAACTAGTTATTTTGATAATATGATAATCTGAACATATGAATTTGTAACCTTTGATAATTCAGGCCTCGTAATCAAATTGCACCTTCGACCTTCGCACTTTTGTAACCTCGTAACTGTAGCCTCGAACCTTTGATAATTTGTCTTTGTCGAAATCAACTCGACCTCTGCAGCTTAACAGCTTCGAAAATCTGCCAATAAGTAGATTCATAAAAAGCCGTGACATCAGATATGTCTCTACCTTTTGATTAGCTCTTTCTGTTGATCCATCTCTCTCTGGACAATAGATTGTCAAAAGTTACTGATTGATATTGAGTCTGAGGCATATTACTATACAAAAAGCATTTACAAACTGAGGACCTCAATTAGAAACAATTGCCTCTGGAATTCAGTGATGTGGTAAGTAATGCTTGAAAAACAATTTTGCCACTTCCAGTTACAGTGTGTGCTAAGGATACTGTATATTGCCAACTGCCGAAGGTAAGGTATCAATAACTGTTGGAAATCTAGACTTAGTATATCTGAAGGTTTAGATTTCTAAGTATGATTATTGTTAGACTATAAGATTTTTAGTCAAACACAATCCTCCCTGTGCCTTAACATAATGGAGTTATGGCTGTGATTGGTGCTTATCTAAGAGTAAAATGGGCAAGGCGTTTGGAGGAATCATATTCTGACAGGTTATGAACTTGGTCAGCCATTGTCAGATTGGAGCATAGGCGTTTGACATGAAATGTAATAGGAGAGCGAGAAGAGGCCGGATGGTTGCAGGAGATGACTGAAGGTCTACTGGAGATAACTAGAAAGAACTAAAGGTTTGAGCTGTGGGTAATATAAATAGCTAAAAGTTCAAAATGTTCGAATGGGTACTAATGGTACTAAAGGTACAAGTGGTGACTAGAGGTAATCCGAGGTAATTGTCATAGGCTAGAGCCTAAGGCAGCTAAGGCTCGGGCTTTGGTGACTGATCTGAGCTGATACCAATCAGGTGACTATTTAGTTTCTCTATTTTGGTATAGTCTGGTAACAGCACAGACCACCTTTCAATGTATATAAAGAAGACTTTTCCTCTTCCATCTTCTTTCTTTAGTTTAAGATCTTCTATACACAGCATACAGCACAATTCAAATACAATTCTACTTCAAGCCCTTACAGTAATCCGAGGATGGTGGTTGTGACAGAAAACTAAGCGTGAAGAACTCTCTAGCTACAGGCCAAGCTGTTACAGCTGGTATGTAAAGAGATAGCTGTCTTCGAGATTGGGAACTGGCCAATGTTGCACGAGAGTATATTGTTGTGGTTATGAGCTGTGAGGTATATAGCAATTATGTCTCTGCTGTCTGTTGGTGGAGTTACACGGGCTCATGTGCAATGGTGAGTCGCGGAGATGGCGCGCTCACGCTGGGTGATGGCACAATGGACACTGAGTGCGTATCACTGTGGCCAAATGGGTGTCAGTAGGTATCAAATGTGAACTCTTACTGACAATGGTGATCTATGAAGGTGATGCTAGATGTGCATCCCGACGATTGATAATATCATCTAATGGATGATGTGAAGTATGATATTATTTTGATAGATTAATTCACTAAACTCGGCAGGTGAAGAGATTTTAGAGTACATGAACAGCGTCTGTGCACCAGCCTGTATTTTCCACCCTTTCCTAATCCAGCAGCCCATCCTCTGTTCCCCTGTCTCCTAACAACTCAACCGAGCCAGCACAACATATATCAGAACTGACAGGGACAAGAATAGCTTGTGGACTAGTAATACAAATTGCAAAACTACAGAACTAAAGCTACATCTTACACCTAACTAAGTACAACTGTACAGCCTAGCATGACTCAACTAAATATCGGCGCCTGATGTGATAAGGCCTCCACAGTTCGGGCCAGTGTTTATGGCACAGTGGTATAGCCACAACTACAAGTCATTATACTGAGTAGCAGTCATACTGAGCCATAACAGCAATAGAGTGATTCCTACATCAGAGTACTCAATCTGAATTCCAAGTAGCCAGTGAAGAGTTCCCATATCCTTGACCTTGAATTCGGCCTTGATGTGGTTTACTAAATCTTCGATGAGCTCCTCTTATTCTCCAATTAGTACTATGTCGTCCACGTAAACTGCAATGATCATTTTACCTGTGTTGTGGATAAATACACAGGGATCAAACAGGGATGTAGCAAGACTATAAGGAATGACATATTCAGCCAACCTGAAGAACCATTCACGAGGTGATTGCTTGTGTCTGTATATACACTTTTTAAGTTTTGCAACATAATCTCCTTGCCTGTACCCTTCAGGAAGTTCTATGTAAATGTCCTCATTCAAGACTTCATATAAAAATGCAGTTTTAATGTAGAGCTGTCTCGTTTTCCATTTCTTAGATGCCGCAATTGCCAAGATTAACCATAATGAATCAAGTCGTACAACCGGAGGAAAGGTTTCGTCAAAGTCAAGTCCTTGGATCTGTGAGAATCCTTTGGCGACGTAGGGTGCTATGTATCGTTCAACTTCCCCATGTGCATCTCTTTTTATCTTGCAAACCCATTTGCCATTAACAACTTTTCGTCCTTCAGGTCGAGGAACAACATCCCAAACGTCGTTATCTTTAAAGGATGCTATCTCCTCATCAAATGCCTTTTCCCAGTAAGCCCAATTAGGTGATGATTGTCACAGTTCGAGGTATAGATGCTGGGGCAATCAAATATACAAAGGTTGTTTATTATTTTCTATACCACAATATGTGTGTCCTAACTCAACTATTTATACACTTATTAGGCTATCTAGAATATTCCTTCCTGTCTGATACTAGCCTCTGTTATGTTTCTCTGATACCAGTTCACAGTCTCAATGCCAGTTGCTAGAATCCTCTAGTCATGTTCAGAATAAACTAGAGTGAAGTTTCGCCTTTCACAGAATTGTTGAGGCACGTGATTAACATCACGTGATACAGGACAATTATTGGCTCACTAGCCGTTACAATGATATAGCAACACTGTGTGAACCGGGTTTAGTTTCATCATGAATATTAAACATGGCTAACTTGTTACCAACACCACGCGTTGAAATCTGCAATTTAGGTTCAGGAAGATCACGAGAAGTTTTCCACCATTCCCCTGTTATCGTGTCTTCATATGTCCGAGGACGTATTGTGCGCTTTGGTATAGAGCTAACAGATGTTCTTGAACCTTCATTTAATGGGTGGCATTGATTCGACAAATTCGACATTGTTATGCTCAGCTATGTAGGATGGTAGATCTAGTAGCTGGTGCATAGGTAGTTATTATGGCAGCATGGCGTTATGGCGCATGGAGGAGATCCAGTCTCTACATAACAACATTACATGTAGTAATGTGTGCATTACGAGAGATGGGTTGTTGATATAGGACAAATGGCATGGCTGCTTAGTTGGTTGCACACTTTGGTGAGCTGCATACTGGTAACGTGATCGGTCTACAAACAAACAAGCCAGGGGATAAGGGACGAGCTTTCCCCAATCTGTAACATTGTAATAATCATAGTCACTTCACTTCTGCACATTAATGAAGACATCTCTCCACATACTATCTTAGCTGTTCCAGCGCAAGTGTACATTCCCAAATCATATACCAGTCATAATAGATATTGGCTGGGGTTCAATCTGAACAGTTGCTAGAATTGATGACGGTTCTTGTGATGATGGCTCTCTTAAATCAGACTGAACAGCATGACATGGATCTTGATTTTGATGGACATTTCGAGTATTTTGTTCTTGTACAACATTTAGAGAATTCAATGAGCTGTTCAATGTCAGTGATGAAGTTGGTAAGTTAGGTAGATTTGTAATGTGTGGGTGGAGATCAGAGATTTTCTCTGGGACAGACTTATCAAGCTAATGAGGTAAAAATTTCACTTCTGCTGATATGATAATCTGTTTTCTCTCAGGAACAAATATACAATAGTGATGATCGACTTCAGTGTATCCAACAAACACACCTTTCTGCGCCCTTGGTAGAAGCTTGCTTCCAGATGGTCGCTTTGCCATGGGGACATGCATGTAGCATTCTCTTCCAAAGGGTTGAAGGTGTAAAATGGATGGTTTTCTCTCATGGAAAGCTTCATATGGTGTCTGTCCATTTACAGAGCTATGTGTAGGACGATTTTTGATATAAATAAATATTTGCACTGCTTCAGCCCACAACTGCTTATCTTTGACTGTGTTTAGCATTGCTTGTATTCCTTCAGAGATCGACCTATTAAGCCTTTTGGCTACACCACTAGATTCCGGGGAATAGGGAGTCAAATGATGACTTATCCCCTTCTGAGCAAGAAATTTGGATAGTGATTCATTGATATATTAGCCGCCATTATCTGTTCT